TTAAGATTTGTCTTGTGATAAGGTTATTAATTCATAAGCTATATTAAAGAACATAGGGGATATTGACACTTTTTGCTCATTTACCACATGCAGTGAAAGAGAGTCCTTGAGCAAGGTCAAACAGTGAATCAGCAGGGCACTAAGCAGAGAACATTTCCAAGTTCTCCTGAGGGCAAAGTCCCACTCTGGTATCAGCAGGCCTCCAGAGTCAAGGTGCAATGTTTCTGAGCCTTTTACAGACCACACATTGTTTGTGATTTTGTGTAACCTCAAAATTCTTCCAGTATGATTGCTTTAGAAACAATTTCTCCTTTCAGATCAACACCATCTAAGAATTCTAGAGAGAAAAGGGATTTAGGATAGGTTTAGAATGTTTGAAAAGCTTCTCTGCAGTTCTCTGTGGAAATAAAACTTAAATCAACCAACCAGAGTAATGTGAAATAAATATTTGACAAATACTAACAGCTTTCACAGTCATACCAGTGCCCAGGAAGATATGTGAGTATTTAAAGGGCTGTTCTTTTTTTTTTTTTTTTAATTGAGGAAAACAGTAGAATACTTCTAAATGTTGAAAATATGTTTTAACATAAAACATTCAACAAGATAACCATATCTTTAAGTTATTTGTGTCTACTTACAAAGAGGTTCAGATTGAAGACTTACGGCTATAAACTGACCATCTCCTTAAGGCTTCGAAATGAGAAAGACTTCTTAATTGTACACATTCATAAAAATGTAAGTAAAAAAGCTTTCTTACTACAGAACTCGAAGGTAGAAAGTTGCAAATTTATACCAATGGTTCAACCTGAACCGTCTCATAACTTGATACTGTTCTTATTCTCATAAGAACAAATAAAAGGAATTTATTAAGTTTTTACAAATTTTATACCCAGAAAAACAAACAAGGATTAAGTACAAATATTATCTCTGTTTTGTAAACGAGGGGACTTAGACATTGAAAGTTTAAAAACATTTTTTTTTTGTTCCAGCTCTAACAGCTGAAAACTAGTGAAGTTTAAATTAAAATGCTGTCTTCAAAATCTTTGCCATAAAAAAATGTATATGGCTTCTAATACTTTATTTTTATTTTTATTTTATTTTATTTGTGTTTTTTTATTGGTTGTTCAAAACATTACAAAGCTCTTGACATATCATATTTCATACATTAGATTCAAGTGGGTTATGAACTCCCATTTTTACCCCAAATACAGATTGCAGAATCACATCGGTTACACATCCACATTTTTACTAATGCCATATTAGTAACTGTTGTATTCTGCTACCTTTCCTATCCTCTACTATCCCCCCTCTAATACTTTATTTTTATAAGATAGAATTACTTCACTAGTATACTTTTGTTTTCTCTTTTCATTTCTTATAGGCCTTCTAAAATAGACCTTTATTTGGAGCTGTTGAGATTTACAGGAAAATTGAGCAGAAAGTACAGAGAGTTCCCATATATTCCCTTCACTCTCCTGAAGCTATTTTCCTATGATCTTAATATCCTTCATTAGTGTGGTATATTTGTTATGGTTTATGAGCCAACATTGAATACACATGAATATTAACTAAAGTCCCTGTTTATCCTAGGTTTACTTTTGATGTTGTATAGTATATGAGTTTTGACAAATGTATAATGACATATGTCCACAATTTCAGCACCATATAGAATAATTCCACAACCCTTGAATTCATCTGTTCTTACTTATACCTCTCGGCTTTCTATTCCCAACCCTACCTTCCCTGATCTTCTTCTGTCTCCCCCAACTGTCATATTGGCATCCTGTACTTTGCAAAAGGCATTTAAGTTTTTCTGTCCCCTTTTATGGCTTAATAACTCATTTTCTTTATCACCGTATAATTTTCTACTGTATGGGTATATGGTAGTTTGTTTACTCACCTGTTGAAGGACATCTTGGTTGTTTTCAAGTTTTAGTAATTATCATTAAAGCTGCTACTTGAAGTCATGTGAGGCTTTACTGTGAATATTACCTCATTAAATTTTTTATTTCAAAGAATAATCTTTCAGGCTGAGGGTGTTTGTCAGTGTAGAGAGTGTGTTTAGTTTATAGAAGATCTTGGGTTCAATCCCTACCACTAGGCAAACACAGAAGGAAATAAAAACCTTAAACCAAACAAAAAAATATTTTTCAAAATTAAACTATTCCTCATTAATTTAAAGTCAAATTTCTTAAGGGTCTAAAATCAATGAGAGTGTATTTGGGTTTTAAATATTATGAGTGATAGTTGATTATAAGCTTTTACGTTTTAATCTACAAATTTCAGGGCTTTTTGAATTTATTCAATTTGAGAGAGCTCCTTTCTTACGTGTTTGAGGATGGGGGTAGGGTGCTGGGGGTCTATGGGTTTTTGATTTTTGCCACTTTCTTATTTCTCTGTTGTTCACTACCTACCCCCTTTCCTTGAAAAGCTGCTTAATTACTTAGATTTACTGTCACACAATATTTCTTTTGAGGAAACATATTGTCTCACTTCAGTACAGATCCTTTGAATAACAAATTGATCATATGATTTTTTTAAAAATAATAAACAATTTTTTTACTCAGGGTTTGGAACTATAAGGGAACTTAAACCATTTTTTTTAGCAGAAGAATATTTTGAACAAAATGTTATGAGAAAACTTAATACATCAGAAAGATAAATGCTGATTTATTTTAGTAGGAAAGAGGGGAAGCCACTGGGATTTCTTCTATTTCCCCACTTAATTCCCCCAAAGCTGTTCCAAAATGTGTTTTTTTTTTTTTTAAATGAAAGGTTCTAGAATACAATGGAAAATATGCATCTATTTTATTCTCTCCAGTTTTCTTATGTAAATTGAATCTTCTATAGACATGGGGATATTGAACTGAATATTTATTTCTAAAGGAAAGTAAGATTGCTCTAAGTTGTTTGTAGAAGACTTAGTAGGAAGGGGCATAATGCAATGCAAATTATAGGATCTATCCATTGTAATGTTTAGGGAAATTAAGGACTTCAGTGAAGATGCAGATGGCTTTATGTTATAGGGAGAGTGAAGCCTGAATTCTGTAGTCATTAATAGTTTTTCCATTTTACCCAAGCCATTCTAAATTACATTCTCAAGAAAACTGAGACTCTGGCTACCACCATCTTACTTGAAATAGATTTCTATGGATAGTAAAATGGCAAATAAGCATCTGTCCACATCACTTTCTAATGATGTGGAGAATAAATGGTCATAATTACATTAGGAGAGTCATGATTAAGAAAAAGTCAAACTTCAATGTTATTTAGTAGATTCAATAAGCAAATATTTAAGAAAATGTTTAATCTTATTTATTTACTCAGAAAATATTTATTAAATTATTGTTGTCAAGGCTTGGAAGGATACCTAAATGTAGTAGATATTATATTTTTCCTGGAAAGAAGGCAAAGAGTTAACAGATAGATAGAGGTCCAAAATTATTACCTCTAGTCCTAATAAAGGCTAAAACAGAGAATGTGGGTCAGGTTTGAAAGTGAAATGGGCTTCCTAATATTGTATTCCAGAATTAGGTAGACTTATTGTTCTATCATGGGATTGTATAAATTAGGAATTGAGTAAATTTATGTGCCTTGTGGATTATGTAGCTTTAGATGACAGAAAGAACTATTCATCCAATTTAACAGGATGCTAGCGTTTATTTGAGTATAGCCATAAGTAAATTATTCAATATAGTTGTAGGAGGAAGGTGAAAATTCTCTTTCAATTGTTTTCATTTTCTCTGTGGTAGTATAATATGCCCAAATCATCAAGAAGAGAAAAAGAAAAGGAGCAAGTATTTGGGAAATGAAAAAAAGCAAGATATGAGATAGCCCTTTGGGGGAATGGAAGAGTGACTTGATTAGGAACAGGACAGGTGTCATCATACACTGGGCTCAGGGACAAGTCAATATGTGGGGATCCTTCCAAAAGTTGATAAGGATTTCAAGAAGGTGACAAAAGCATTTTAAACCAAGCATGGGGCCCTTCTAAGCCTGGGCACTGTGCAAGCAAACCCATGAATCTTAACCTAAGGCAATATTGTAGTTGCTTGCTCTCACTAAGGGTGAAGATCAGGAATAGCAGGAGAAATAGTATGTTTGCATAGTTTTCTGTACTGATGATGAGTTACGAAGCCTTCTCGATCCTTGTCCTTCTCTGTCCTTGTAACCCTGTTGTGTGTAAAGCAGACATGAATGAACAGAGCTTCATCCTCAGTAGCTGAATGTGCTCTATCTTGGGTGTGGCAGCATAACTTTGACTCTTTTTATATCAAGAGGACATTCAGTGTTACTAATTCATTTTTAATCTTTGCTATTTTAAAAACACCCAGATGTTCCTAGACTTCTCCCCTATGTTTCCAAGAACAGTGGGTTACACATCCTCTATATCATGACATTATTTTCTATAAGGCTTTTGCCATGTGGGTTTGGGTTCGAGAGGGAAGCAGCAAGTCTTTATCGCTGCCAGCTTCTGTTGACAGAATTTTCATTGGATTATTGTTCCCACATCAGGACTGTCAGGAGGACAGATGAAGCTAATTAATCCTTATCAGTTCTGATTCAGTTAAAAAATTCCTGGATACTTTTCAATGTCTGCTTGAATTGTCCTTATGGAAACCTTGCTGGTAGAAAGGTCAAAACTCTTGTTAAATAGAAACAAGTACTTTACAAGTCAGACATTTCTGCGAGTGGGAGAGGGGTTGTGTTTACCAACTGATTTAAATAAGAAGACAAAATATTACTGAATATAACTTTGAGGGGTGGAGGTAAATTTTGACCTTTATGTTCAGAATTTAAGCTAGGAGAATATGAGAGCAAAAGCATTTGTTTATGAGCATGGACGAGTAGAATCATTTTGCTACATCATTATAACCGGTCAGACAAATCAGACTGTTACATTGTTCAACTTGAAAATTACAACTGATTTAATTATGCAGTATCTAGGTAATGCAGTGTTTATGGTGATTCATTTATAAAATATAAGTTGATGGAATAGTTAGGAGGAGCAAATTTTTAAAATTTTAATGCATTCTTTATGTGTCCTTATCATTTTATTTAAATGAAAAATCAAAAGGCAACTTTAAAACAGAAATCATATACTTTTACAAGCAGCAAAGTTGTACCTACCTGTATGTGCAGTCCTGATATCCTGAGTCTCAGCTCAAATAACAGGTAAGAGTTTGCTTTTCAGTTAACTGAAAATAATATCAATTTTAAAAGAAAACTTAGTGAAGCACTTCATAGCCTATGCAATTTTACAAATTCAATATATATTAAAGTGAACTCTTGAAGTGGAACCTTCCAGTGAAGCAATCTCATGTTATCTGTTTTCTTGCTGGTCAATAAACATGTTTCCAACTGCAAATAATAATAATTCTAAACTTACTTTTTTTTTTCCTGAAAATCTTGAGCTTTTGTTTATGGGTAACTATAGGTTGTAAATGCCATTATCCATTTAAATTGTGCAATAAACTCTAGTCAATGTCAAGTTGTCTTCTGGTCACAATGCCTAAAAAACATCCACTGCAAATTTTGTATCTTTGACAACTTTCTTAACCCTTTAAATTTAGGATAATTTAAATTTTAATATGTTGTCTGTGCTTTTGGATGAATGTTTTCATTCCTGAGTAAAGTGGAAAAGGGCTTTAAGTCTTTTACTATCCCCCTGATCCATGGGTGATCCTATCAGTGGTGATTATGCCAGGTTTCAACAAGAAGGGATGTCACATCTGGGAGGGTTGGCTTTGCTTGGCCATTAGCATCTTATAGAAATTGATTTTCCACAATGGCATGAGGGAAAGGACATGTCTTAATGTACTTCTTTTTATGGAAGTAAACTGATCTTGTAATATATGCAGAGTTGACACTACTGAGACAATCAATGCTGTGAAAAAAAAAGAGAACAGACTCTAAACGGAGACTTTCCTGAATTTAATTTATGAATTGCTGCCATTCCATCTGAATATGCGCATTTCTTTTTATGTTTATGACTTCTAGAGTATTTTTGGTTCTATGAATTCATAAAATGATAAAAAAGGAACAATTTAAATTGCTTCTTTGTTTTCCCTTCACTCTTCCATCCTCATTTCTTGAGAAGGTATAAATTTAGGGAAAGGAATACAGAACCGTTGAACCAATTTTAAAAAGTCAAATTATAATCACATATTGGATTCATTGTCTTTTAAAGTCACAGTCATTTTTGTGATAAAAATTTGGGATGTGCTGATAAAGCAGTATATGCAAGAATAACTTCTACTGGGATTAGGCTTAATTTTGAAAAAAGCCATTAACTTGTTCTTTTTATTGAAATAATGTTGTCTTTGCATCTGAAATGTAATACTTGATATGTTGTCTTCTTGTGTTAGAAATTGTGGCAGAAATATGGAGAAGCGAGGAAAAGGTAAGACTGGCAATTAGTCATTTATTTTCGTCAATCATAAGATTTTCTTTTCTCTGTGTTGCTTAGTTTTGTACAATTGAGAATTATAGTCATCATTTACCCAAGGGAGTCTCATTTTTCCTGAACAGATGTGTTCGTCCAATTTGCCTTGAAGATATTTATACAAGTTGTCATCAATGAATTTTAATGAAAAATTGAGTAAAATATATTTGACTATATTTTTATAGCAATGAAAAATGATCTTCCCCCCACCATGGCAATGTTAAACTGAGTAAAAATAAAATTTTTTTGGTAGTGAATATTAAACCCAGGGGTGCTTTTCCACTGAGCTGAATCCCCAGCCCCTCTTATTTTTTATTTTTAGACAGGATCTCACCAAGTTGCTTAGGTCCTTACTACATTGCTTGAGGCTGGCCTTGACCTTGCAATCCTCTTGTCTCAGCCTCTGGAACCACTGGGATTACAATGTGCACCACTGTGCTGGGCTGATCAAAATATTTTTATAAATTAAATGTTACTGTATAAGCATTAGTCTATTTTTCTGTTTAACTATTAAAACTTTGCCAAGAAAATTAGAAAACCAGATCTGTCATCAGAAAGGGAAATTATACGGGCTGATTATGTACTATGTCTAAAGTAAAGCTTTATTTTTTCAGCATGATTTCTGGGACAGAGATGAAGTTCCATGTGGCCTCTCAACTGCCTTTGGCTTTGCCACTCAATTGCTCTGATTTCAAATAATGCAGTGTAGTGTTTATAAATTTTGAGTGTTATCTGAAGATATTATTAAAATGCAGATCAGGCCACACATTCAGAATTCTTATTAAACCAGGAATCAGCATTTTAAGCAAACCTCTCAGGTAGATTTGATATTGTTGGCCCAGAGAACACAGTTTGAGACAGATGGCTATAACAGAATGATGCTAATATTTACAGAAAATCATGTGGAACTCCAATTAACTAGTTACAATAATTGAACTCTTGATCATTTATCATAAAATATATAATGAATAAGATATTATAAGTTCTGACCTGCAAGAAAAATATATAGTATTTGCATATATATCTTAAAAAACACAATTTAATCTTTTAGTTCTTATAGTATTCTCTTTCTCTTTCTCTTTCTCTCTCTCTCTCTCTCTCTCTCTCTCTATATATATATATATATATATATATATATAACCCTCATTTGTAGCTTATTTTTGATAAACATATATTTTTTATTATCAGTGAGAGAGAATTCTTCACTTATTATAACAACTTCTAAACTTTGTTTTAAAAACAAAATGAGACAAAATAAAGACATAATTTTCATGTTAGACACTTCAAATTAGAGCAATGTAATACCAGATTTCCCCCCTATTTTCTGTGAAGATGAAGGTACTACTTTCAGAAACTTCCAGTTTAAAAACTGCTTTTTGAAGCATTATTTTATTCTTTCTTAGAATAGAACTGGATATGAGGAAAGACAAAATTCAAGAAGATGCACTTGCTAAGATAGTGTCACAAACATGTTCTTATCATTCAGCAAATTCTCCAGTTTTGCTAATAACAAGTTGCCTTTATGAAATTAAAGACAACTTTTGTGGTAGACCATTCCTTCAGTGTTGCTGTAGGAGAATCTTGGTAGGGAAGTCAAAGAATCAAAAACCTCAAGTGAAAGTTAAGAAAATGGAAATAAAATTAAAATCAGAGCTGAAATCATACAAAAGAAACAATTGAAAAAAATTGACAAAATAAAAAGTTGTTTCTTTGAAAAAATAAATAAAATTGACAAATCCTTAGCCATGTTAATGAAGAAAAGTGAGAGAAAACTCAAATTTTTAATATACATGATGAAAAAGGTAATATCACAACTGACACTACAGAAATACAGAAGATAATTAGAAATTATTTTGAAAACTTGTACTCTAATAAAATAGAAAATAATTGAAGGCATTGGCTAATTTCTAGAGTCATATGATTTACTCAAATTGAATCAGGATGACATACCCAATTTAAACAGATCAATTTCAAGCAATGAAATAGAAGATGCCATTAGAAGCCTACCAACCAAGAAAAGCCCAGGACAGGGTGGATACACAGCTGAGTTCTACAAAACCTCTAAAGAAGAACTAATACCAATATTCTTCAATTTATTTCAGGAACTATAAAAAGAGGGACCATTTCCAAACTCATTGTATGAGGCCAATATCACCCTGATTCCAAAACCAGGCAAAGATACATCAAAGAAATAAAACCTCAGATCAATATCTCTAATGAACATTGATGCAAAAATTCTCAAAATTCTGGCAAATCAAATATAAAAACATATCAAGTGGGATTCATGCAAGGGTGGCTCAACAGAAATCAATAAATGTAATTCATCACATCAATAGACTTAAAGATAGGAATAATATGATCATCTCAACAGAAGCAGAAGAAGCACTCAGCAAAATACAGTACCCTTTCATATTAAAAACACTAGAAAAACTGGGGGTAACAGGAGCATATCTCAACATCGTAAAAGCTATCTATCTTAATCCCCAGGCCAACATCATTCTAAATGGAGAAAAATTGAAAGCATTCCCACTAAAAACTTAAACAAGACAGGGATGTCCTCTTTCAACACTTCTATTTAACACAGTTCTTGAAATACTGGCCAGAGCAGTTAGACAAAAGAAATTGAAGGGATATAGATAGGAAAAGAACTTTTAGCATTATTTGCTGACAATATGATTCTATACCTAGAAGACCCAAAAGATTCTACCAGAAAACTTCTAGAACTAGTAAATGAATTCAGCAAAGAAGCAGGATATAAAATCAATACCCATAAATCAAAGGCATTTCTGTATATCAGTGATAAATCCTGTGAAAGGGAAACAAAGAAAACTACCCCATTTACAATTGCCTCAAAAACAAAAAAAACAAAACAAAACAAAACAAAACAAAAAAACACTTGGGAATCAGCCTAATGAAAGAGTCGAAAGACCTCTACAAAAAAACAACAGAATGCTAAAGAAAGAAATCAAAGAAGACCTTAGAAGATGAAACAATCTACCTTGCTCTTGGATAGGCAGAATTAATATTGTAAAAATGTCCATACTATCAAAAGCACTAAACAGATTTATTGCAATTCTAATCAAAATCCCAATGGCATTTCTCATAGAAATAGAAAAAGTAATTATGAAATTCATCTGAAAAAATAAGAGACCCAGAATAGCTAAAGCAATTATTAACAAGAACAGTGAAGCAGGTGGCATCACTAGATCAGAAGTTAAACTATACTACTGAGCAATAGTAACAAAAACAACATGGTATTGGCACCAAAATAGACTGGTAGACCAATAGTACAGAATAGAGGGTACAGAGACTAACCCACATAATTATAGTTATATTAGACAATTTTTCCAAAAACATATAATGAAGAAAATATAGGCTTTTCAACAAATAGTGTTGGGAAAGCTGGAAATCCATATACAACAGAATGAAATTAAACCCCTATCTCTCACCATGCATAAAACTCAACCTCAAAATGGATCAAAGACCTAAGAATTAAACCAGAGACCCTATACCTAATAGAAGAAAAAGTAGGCCCAAATTTTCATCATATTGGATTAGGCCTCTACGATCTTAATAAGATTCTTATAGCACAAGAATTAAAATAAAAAATCAATAAATGGGATGGATTCAAACTAAGAAGCTTCTTCTCAGCAAAAGAAACAATCTGTGAGGTGAATACAGAGCCTATATCTTGGGGAAAATTTGTATCCCTCACACATAAGATAGAGCACTAATCTCTAGGGTATATAAAAAACTTCAAAAGCTAAACACCCAAAACAAACAAACAACAACAACAACAACAAATAAAACACAAAATAACCCAACAAATAAATGGGCCAAGAACTTAACAGACACTTTTCAGAAGATGATATACAATCAATCAACAAATATATGAAAAAATGATCAACATTAGAGAAATGCAAATCAAAACTACTCTAAGATTTCATCTCACTCCAGTCAGAATGGCAGCTATTAAAACACAAACAACAGTAAGTGTTGGCAAGGATGTGGGGAAAAAGGCACATTCATACATTGCTGATGGGACTTCAAATTGGTGCAGCCAATCTGGAAAGCGGTATGGAGATTCCTTTGATAACTGAGAATGGAAACAGCATTTGACCCAGCTATCCCACTCCTTGGTCTATACCCAAAGGACTTAAAATCAGCATACTACAGGGACACAGCCACATCAATGTTAATAGCAGGACAATTCACAATAGATAAACTGTGGAACCAACTTAGATGCCCTTTAGTAGACAAATGGATAAAAATGATGTGGTATATATACACAATGGAATATTACTCAGCAATAAAGAGAATAAAATCATGGCATTTGCAGGTAAATTAATGTAGTCGGAGAATAGAATGCTAATTGAAGTTAACTAATCCCCCCAAACCAAATGCTGAATGTTTTCTCTGATATAAGGAGGCTGATTCATAGTGGGGTTGGGAGGGGGAGCATGGCAGGATTAGATGAACTCTAGATAGGGAAAGGGGTTAGGAGGGTAAGGGAGGGGGTATGGGGATAGAAACGATGGTGGAATGAGATGAACATCATTACCCTAAGTACATGTGTGAAGCCAGTGGAAATAAGCCTTATAGTAATATTTCATTTAAACTTTATTTAGTACCAATGGGATATCATCACCTGGGCAGCCTCAGTAATGCAACAATAATACATGCATGAAAACTGTACATGCTATATCTGTATCAGGATGTAGAAGGAGTACAATGGAAATCTTTGCACTTAGCTGAGAAATATAAAAACAAGGTCATTCATTATATTTTTTTAATACAACTACTGAGTAATATTTACTGGTAATGAGAAGGTAATTGGTATCCTGAGGCTACTCCTTATTGATATGATTGGTCATGGCAAGTGGATGGGGCATTGTCTAATCCATTTTCCTTCTCCAGTGAAATAAAACACAGGGGTTTTTACCAATTTGTCTATTCAAATGTCTTTGAGAATATGACTAGAGACTTGGAGGCTAGCGTCAAATTGTTGACAAGGCTGCTACTGTTGTTGACGAAATTAACAGCAACAATTTCTTACATGCTCTAGTTCTGATCTCTAAGTTTTCTTTCGTTCACTTTATAGATGCAGGAACTGAAGGTCACTAAGATTAAAAACCCTGAACTCAGAACTTGGAAAAGACTTCTAAAACTTGTTCATTGAGATTCCTTAAAGTCACCACAGTATTTTTCAAGGCATAATGAGGGGGCATTGGCAGCATGGGAAAATGATTATAAAGCTGCTTAGTGCTATCCTAGGTAGTTAGCAGTCACACTTTAGTTAGATCTGTCCTCTTATCTATACTCTCAGAAGGCTGTGTTGTCTTTTCTTTGGAAGATGGGTGTGCAAAAAGGAGATTGATAGGCTAGAGGCTAGGAGAGTAGGAGGAGGAAGAGACAAAGCAACGCAACACACACACACACACACACACACACACACACAAAGTGCTGAAATTTATGAAGTCTGGTCATATAGAAAAGTGAAGAGAAAAAAAGAAAGGAAAGATATGACTTTCTAGACTTTTTTGAACTGTGGAGATGGCAGTTGCATAAATACAAAGAGTAAAAGCAAGAAAACAGAAGTTTTGAAGAAAACTATGTAGACGATGAGCAAAATTTTTGATAGCAATGTGTTTGAAGCATATAGAAATTTCTAGCAGAGATGTCATAGAGGCTGTTGAAATGAGGATTTGGAGCTCCTTATAAGGCAGTACCCCCAAATAGACTGGTATATTAATAAAATAATATGTTATTTTAAAATACTTTATTCCAGTTTATTAGAAGGTCTTATGTTGGATATTAGATATGGAACAAGTTAGAGCTATCAGCAGCTTCCACTAAAACCTAGTTTAAGGCTGTCCAATAGAAATTTCAGTGTTTAATATCTGCACTGTTTAATACAGTGGCCACTATCAACAAGTGTTTACTGAAAACTTGATATCTGCATAATGCAACCCAGGAGGTAAATTTTAAATTTTGTTCAGTGTTAATTTCTTTAAAGTTAAATAGTCATCTGTAGCCAGTGGCTACCAAGATGAGTAACATAGGTGTAGATATGTTTATCTGGAGCAGAACACTTATTAGCATTTTGGATACCAACTCCATTTGAAATAATCCTACCAAATTCCCCACTCATTACAAAAATGGGAATAAAAGTAACCACTTAAGTGTAAAATTTGTAGATGTTGCATGTTCTTTTAGCTGCATATTTCCCATTAATGTTAATGAAACATGTATAAAACAGTGTTTAATATTTTAAAATTCATAAATCATATTTTAAATCTAAGTTTCAATTTGTTTTCCTCATTTCACTATAATTAAGATAATCTTTCAAAGAAGAGCTCAATTCAATTACTGATGGAACAGAAGCCTATTTTATAGTTACATTGCACAGTGTTCTCAGAGAAGATACCAATTTAGGAGTATTAAATAGTGAATGCTGAGAAAGCAATGACAGCTCCTTACTTAACAAACTTTCATGCATTGATTGACTGCAGATTAAATACACTCCATTAGTGTGTTACAGCAGAAATATACAGGCACTTCATTTTCAGTAGACTATAACTAGAGATAATAAATTACCATATGTACCTAATCCATTCAATTTTTTTCTTTAGTAATTAAAAATACATATGCATATGTATATATATATGAACTATATATATATATATATATATATATTTCAAAGGAATTTTGATGCATGATCATAAAGATTTATCCTTAGTTTGTGATGCAGTTGATCTTCTAGGATTATCTAGGATTAATTCATAACTTTTGGGGTTAATATCTAAGTCGGATCCTGTGTTTTCTTGCCTACTCTGGCCTTTATAATGTCTCTTCATAGGGGCATGTGGGGCATATTATCTTGCAAATAAAAGCAAGAACTTCTGTTTAAGATATATTCTGGTTTAGGATTCAGCATTGTTATTTATTAGATTAGTGGACTTAGGCAAATTATTTCCTTGCAAGTTTATTTTGAAGTCTAATACATGTGAGTATATATCTACTAACAAATTTTACATGTTCTATTTTTCATTCTTTGAAATTTTGAGTCAGAGCAAGGACTTATAGAAACCTGAAAAATAATATGAATGCAGACATCTATGTTTCAAAATACTTTTAGTCCTGCATCCTAATCTTTTAAAGTTTCTCTGAGGTCCAATAATATAGAACTTTCATTAGTTTCTATAAATTTTTAATTCCACTGTATCTATTTCCATGATATTTTTCCAGATTATGGAAATTTTATTGAATCACGAAGTTATAATAATAAGTAAAACTGCCAAAAACACCACTGGGAATTGATACTGGGCGGGGGGGAATAGGTAAGCGTGCAGATCTTTGGGCAGGGACAGAGGTCTTGAGTGTACTTGTAGAATGACCATATAATTTATCATACAAGTTTAGATTGTTTTGAGAGTGAAAGATGGCCTAACTATATGACTGCCCAAGACAAACTGAGACCTATGTTTACCCTAACTGAAAGGTACATTTCTAGCCTTGATGTTCAGATATTTTGTACATGGATCAATTCATATCTGTTATACAAAAAATAGAAGTTTTAGTTAACCAGGATAGTCAATGAACTGGCAGTTAAGAGGTAGATTAAATATTCATAGGTGAGAAAACTAAAACTTAAGACTTAATAATTGTACTATTTGGTGAACACTATTTATTTCATCACATGCCAGAACTTGCACTAAGTAAAATTGTGCATTTCCTCATTAAATCCTTATAATATACCTAGTAAATCAATAATTTTTTAAGTCTCTAGTTTATAGCTGAAGATAAATATGTTGCTCTGTTATATACCTGATGATTGTCATGAATGTTATGAGTAGATCATAACTAGATACAAATTCAGATCTATAGGAAATGTTAGATTAATTGTTAGGTATATTTCTTTCCAGAACCAATGTCTGTTATGAAATTTATGATTCTGTCACTTGTGGCAATTATGAGTTGATGGAGGAAGAATAGAGTGGGATTGGGGACTATGGTTTCATCCAAAGGACATGAGTCTGTCATACAGACAGCCTCCTTTCTAAAGGAGATCCTGAATACAGATCCTGAATCTCAGAATATAAAAACATGGTAGAAAGTAATTAATCAGAAAATGTACAAAGTCTACAAGGTCATTAGAGATTTAAATATTACTGAAATAATCAACCTTGGGAACAATTACTCAGTAGAGGATGTTGTGAACACCAACATATATTACTCTGCTCACCTAAAATAGTAGCAGAGTATTTATAAATTGAAACCTCTAGAATACGATCTTGACTAATTGGAAGAGGTGCCAAGTACTATTGCTAAGGTGAGTGATTAGAAAAGAGATTCTCATCATCACTCTGCTTTTAATTAGCTCAGAGGCTTTAGAGAAGTCCTTCTATGACCTGGATGCCAACGTTATCTTTAATACAGAAAAATAGATAATATCCCTCGTTAGCTCACAGGTCTTTGTGACAACAGAGTCATTCAACATCATGAACATTCTTTCATTATGCCATTTCTCAGATGGAGTTGTAGGTATTGTTTATATATCTTACTTCTCAAGCTCCAAATTCCATAAGGGCAGGGTTAACAAAGTGTCATTAATCTTGGCATCCTCTGTACCTAGCAGTGAACTATAATAATTATTTTGAATGACTATATGAATGAATGTATGAATGTTGAGTTCCTGCTGGTTACATAATAAATATTTTAAATAACTACATGAATGACCTGAAATGAATCAAAAATGATTAGGAACATTGCAAAAATTTAAAAATATGTATTATAGTAATTTGATTCCAATTTACTTCTGATCTAGTTACTAAGAAATCCCACTTTACTAAGAATGTAAATGATTTATATATTAATATCTTATTTAATATGTGGAATATAAACTGCTCATATTTTAAAATTTGTCACTTATCTTAAAATAAAATTTTTCTTCTTCTTTTTTCTTTTTTTTTCCTTAGTGAATTTAGTTTTTAAGAGACTGTATTCTACTTATTTGAAGGTGAACTAAAAATACCTCTTAACTCTGAAGCCTGGTGCTGACTCACGGAGCTTGTCTACTACATGACCAAATGTAGGTTGAGAATAAATTAGAAAGATCTGTCTTATTCATATGTATTTTAGTATTCCAAGAGAAGAAACACCAAGGAAGTAAAATATAGCAAGCAAATTAAAGTACAAAAAAATGCATCTTATTTCTTGTGTCAACTAAATTATTTTCATTGTTCTTTCTTTATGCATGTCCTGGTACCTTGGCCTAAATTGTACAAGTGATAGGTGACAGGGACTGCAGATGGCTCAATAGCCCTGAGCCATTTGCAGCTGAACTAATTTGGCACATGGCTTTGTCCTTTAATGATCAGATTTCTGACCTATTGCCTCCTCTTCCCCCATTTTTCCTACACATGCCAAAGAAAGCTTGTTCAGGTGGTTTTGAAGGAAAGTACTAGTTTTTTGAATTTGGGAGTAGAGGCATTTTCAAGTCAACTTTGCTGTTTCTTACAGCCACATCTTTACTAAAACATGAATGGAGCATGCTAAGAAGTATATATATATATTTATCTAGGAAGCTGAATTATATTAAAATTATAAATTTTAGAACTTGGCAGGACAATGAGTGAGGTGCCTACTCATTGGTAGAAAATAAATTTAACTGAGAAATGTCGAGGGGGCAGGATATTGGTTTATTTTAATCTGTTTTTTTTTTTTTTTTTGTACCAGGGATTGAACCCAGAGTCACTTAACCCACTGAGCCACATCCTTGGCCCATTTTATTTTTTATTTTGAGACAGGGTCTCCCTAAGTTGTTGAGGCTGGCTTTAAACTTGTGATTCTTCTGCCTCAGCCTCCTGAACTGCTAGAATTACAGGCATGTGTTCCAGCACCCAGCGGGGTTTTTGAATCTCAGTGTAGTATTTTCCCATCACTACCATGAAGCCACAACTCTAAAGTCATTTTTTAATTTTCTAATTCCCTTTTTCAAAGAACAAGGAAATATGAAGATAAAAGAGCATAACCATCTTAAAGGAATCTGTCTCTGGGAGACTTATTATGAGAGACTGGGAGTAAACATCTTTTGATACAGGTCAACAAACACCCTGATATATATATATATATATATATATATATATATATAGAGAGAGAGAGAGAGAGAGAGAGAGAGAGAGAGATATATATATATATATATATATATATATATATATATATATAGATAGATAGATAGATAGATAGATATAAGATATATCTATAGATATATAGATATATATCGATATCATCTAAGTGTTGATTTCAAATTCTGACTTTGCCACTTCCTAAATTATAGGAGCCTTAAGTCATATCTTCATCTGTAAAATGGAGTAAGAGTACCTACAAATAGTTTTGTGAATATTGAGTAAAATGATTGAGATAAAATACATCAGACCTGACACATAGTATATGCTCAATAAATGCTAGAAGTTGTTTTCATTGTTACAGTTTTCCTTCTCCTGTTCCTCCTCCTGTCTCTTCTTATTCCTCTTTTTTGAATGGTAGTAGTGGCAGTGATCATGGTGTTGGTATCACTAGAATGTGAATGCTTAGAAAAGATTCTCAGATTTGAGAGGTTGTTTTAGTCAGCTTTGCATCACTGTGATCAAAATACCTGACAGGAACAACTTAGAAAAGGAAAAGTTTATTTTGGCTCACAGTTTCAGTTTATGGTTGGTCTACTCCATTGCTCTGGAGCCAAGATAAGCATCATGGTGGAAGGGCATGCTAGAGGAGAGTGCTCAAATACTCAAGGTGGCCAGGAAGCAAAGAGCAGTAAAAAGCACAGCAGGGAAGATGAACCCTTTCAGGGAACACCCCTAAGGACCCACCTCTTCCAACCATGTTGGAACTACCTATAGTTACCACCTCATCAGTCCATTCAAACTCGGATGGATTGATTATATTATAGCTCTTTCAATCCAATAATTTCACCTCTTAATATTCTTACATTAAGACAGGAGCTTTTGGGGGACACCTCATATTCAAATCATAACAGACTTTTACCTAATCAGGAGCATACAGCAAATAATTTGAGATTCACTTGTGTAGGCATGAGTCACACTTGTAAGAACCTGGCTGCTGAGAGCCATAGCCAAGTAGGAATGATGCATGGCATTTTGGGTTGAAAGGTGACCCTGCTCAGGGATTAGGGTGGCTCCAGGTTCAGAGTGGATCCTACTGGGAATAGGGCGGCTCCAGGATTAGGGTGGATCCTGCAGGGATTAGGGTGTATCCTGCTGCCTCAGGCGCCTGCTCCTTTGGAGTTCTCCCTGGTTCTGAGAGAATTGGTGCACGGAGCCGGGTGAAGGCAGGATGTTCACGGGAAGTGTGGGTAGAGTTTCGGTGAGAGTTAGGGTTAGGGTTAGGGTTAGGGTCTACAAGGCTTTGTGGTGGCTCGGTGATTTTGTGCCCAGCCAGACTGCAGCACTTGGCAGCTAAACAGCTAAATATACTCTTGGTGAAAGTCAGCCAAGAAGACCAAGAGCTACTGCATAAAACTTGACAATTTCCCTGATATCAGACTTGACATACATACCAGGGTGATACTAATCAATTAAAAAATGCTAGAAGTCAGCTGATGTCCTGTTTTTGTGATTTCCTATGACAATGTGTAGGATTTTAATCCTTTATTTTTAACTTACATATGTAAACATATATGTAATTGTATATTGCAATACTGTATATTGAAATATATTCTTCTATCTTTGTGTGTGTATGTGTGTGGTTATGTGTAAAATCAAGTAGATTATGAGCCCTTCCATAAAGTAGGGTTTCAATTTTATATTGTACTTGGTAGGAGAGATGCCCCTAAGATACTTTTGGGATAAATTAATTTCTTTGACCTCTACATTTTCTGTCATTGTGAATATGTGAAGTGGTTTAATTCTAGGATACTTAAAGAGAAGTGTGGAGCTCTCAAGTCAGAAATTAAGCAGAAGAGTCTAATCAAAAGGATGCACCCAATTTAGGAACATCAGTGCTTACACATACTCTTGTTCAAGAAGAGAAAATGAAGAGAACAAAAATGAATATATTTATTCTTTGAGTTTTAGTGAATGTAATTTTATTTTATTTACCTTGCCATTTCTGATTTTTTCCCTATTTACAGTAAAGTGCATTTCTAGATTATAAAAAAGAAGAGCAACACTACCTGTGTGACTGAACCATGTACAGCCAGAGAAATGAGAAGTTGTGCTCTATTTGTGTACAATGTGTCAAAATGCATTCTATGGTCATTATAACTAATTAGGACAAATTAAAAATAAATAGAAAAGGAAGAGCATGAAAAAGTACAAAATTTATATACTTACTATAGTAAAATCTTCTTAAAGAAAATTAAGCCTAAAGGCTTAAAAATGTTGGATTTAATTCTTTTATTCTGATTTACAAATATAATGAACTTGAGTTGATAATTTTCTGGTTTATGTTTAAATAATAATATAATAATAATAACCACACTGTAATGCTTACATAAGCCATAGATTTAATGCATATTATCAAAATAACTATTCAAATGTCTCTGTTAAGGTAGAAGAACAGTTGATTTTAGCTTTAAAATTTAGACTTGATTTTTGATTTGAGAGCTCCACATTCCTCTTGAAATTTAGACTTGGAGATTTTTAGAAAACATTAAAGTCTTTATGCTTACTAAATAGCAGAAATAGAATTAGAAATTTTATCTTAATGACTCTTAATTTATTATTTTCTTTTAGCTTTAATTTGAACCCTTACTGATCAGATCAAATTAACTACTAAATCCCTACATTCTTGACACATTGACCAGTTAATGCACCCAAAGTGATTATCTGTAAATCTGGAAAATTTCAAGTATGTTATCAATAAATTGAATACAACTAATAAACAAATTAAAGTGTAGTTGGAGATGATTAAAAGAATCTTAATTTCTTTTTCCTACTATGAATTAAAATAGCTAAAAGAAAATAGGAGTGGTACTGTTTTTGTTAAAATTATCATGACCTTTGTGTGTGTGTGTATAAAATAACTGTTTTACCAAGTATTACATATTTATTCAATAAAATTTAAAAATAACACGTACATAAAAAATGTTAATCCTCACTTCCCATAGATGAGCATTTCAAAAGTTATATGTATATATAATATATATGATGACAAAAATAAATCCATATGTATATGAATTATATAGTCTATTGCTATTCATGTACTTCTATTACTCTATGTAGTTATCTTTATTTTTAATCTCTACATCCACTTTTGTAATACGTCTGTCTGTTTTATTCTATGGCTAGTTCTTTCTTACTTTTTTTTCCCTTTTCTTTTCCTTTTTTTTTTTTTTTTTTTGTACCAGGGATTCAACCCCGGGGAAATGCAACCACTGAGCCACATCCCTAGTCCTTTTTATAATTTATTTTGAGACAGGGTCTCACTGAGTTGCTTAGGGTCTCACTAATTTGTTGAGGCTATCTTTGAACTTGCAATCTTCTTGCCTCAGCCTCCAGAGCTACTGAGATTATAGGCATGAGCCACAGCTCTGGGCTTCTAGTTCTCTTTCTATCTGTGTATACCTATTTGTATTTCTCCTTACAGATATCTTTATCTTTAGATGCAGAAATGAAACACATATACTCTTTATATAAATTATAATAGAATTATCCTCAATACCCTTTTGTGACCTGAGATTTCATTTTATATATGAACATGTTTCTATATCATTAAATATTTTTTCAGAATATCATTTTAATTGATAACAAAGTAGTTCAACATATGAATGCACCAGAATTTACCTAAATTGTTCTTTATTGCATGGGTATTCATGCTATTTTGGTATTTTTGCAGTGAACATTCTTTTTTATATATTTAGTTTTCAGTTATAGGTGAACAGAATGTCTTTATTTTACTTTATGTGGTGCTGAGGATCAAACCCAGTGGCTCACGTATGCTAGGCAAGTGCTCTACCTCTGAGCCACAACCCCAGCCCAGTGAACATTCTTATAGGTAATTGTTTTTTAACATATCCATGATAAGTCCCTGTAGGTGGCTTTTTAAGAAGAATTTTAGTTTTCTGCCACAGAATTAGGCACATAGTACATGTTCAAGAAATATACATTGAATAATAGTAGCTTATTTATATCGCTATTTACTATGTGTCTTTTCAGATGAGGAAACTAAAACATAGAAAATTTGAGTATTATGGAATTTGAACCCAAGCAGTCTGATTCTGGCACAAGTTTAAGCATCTTTACAATTCATCACAATCTGAATTTTAGTTACTCCTTTAAATGAAGGTATTGAAATTGTTGCTAAAAATAAAAGCAAATATTTGGGAAGAAAAAGATACCAAACATTGATTATCTATTATTATTGTATTTATCACCAAAGCTATTTCTTCACTGCAGTTTGTATTATATAACTACATGAATTGAACTAACTTATACAAGTTTGATATGTATATCATGAAAACAATCAGAATAATGAATATACCCAGTACCCCTAAAAGTTTCCTTATGCCCTTTTATGAACTCCCTCTTTTATTCTCTTTATGTTTCTGCCTTGTTCCTAGGCAACTACTAATCTCTTTTGTTTCACTATGGGTT